GGATTTTGCCTTCTGCTAGGAGGATGTCTGCTCAGCTGTGCAGCCTGCTCTGGCCAAGCTCCTCTAGCTTCAGGCCACTATGTGGTGGCTGAGATGCAAGATCATTGCCAAAAACTGGAGATGAAAAGCACCAATCTGAAAATCTAAACCAGGACGGACCAGTGGTGTCTACTCTTAGGGAGAGGCCGATTCAGCACTCGAGATGGTAGGATTTCCTGCGACAGTCACCATTCACTATGCTTTTGATTTTCTGAAATGTATTTTTTCCCCTGTGGCTACTAGTTTCTCAAACTATATTTTCTCTATAAGACTGGTAAACTGCTTTCATCTTCTACACTGACAGCAAAACCAATTAGGTCTTAATAGTAAGTAACAGTAACCATACCCATCACTGTAGATGAGTTTGCTCAATTTTAAAATAGGCTCCATGATTGCACAGAACTGGAAAATGAAACATTAGTTAGTCCTCATGTATCTTTGAAGGTATTACTCATATGGAAATGAATCATTTTGGAAATCATTTACTTCTTTCAGATGTTTAAGATAATCCGTTACAATAAAGCAAAGGTCTTGTTGCATATTTATTTAAAACTCATATTATCTAAGAAGATGGCTAGCTCTTTAAAAAGCCTTAGAGGTGAGAGACGTGGAATACATCATCTCCTTCTGAATCACAGACCTCAGTGCTTCTGTGGAGACTTTTCCAAAAGTCAGCCATATCCATCATACCTTCTTTGCTACTGAGAGGGCACACTCAGGCTCTTTGCATGATTCACATAGAATCTGCCACACAAATGTGCTTCTGCTTCTGTGTCCCGTGCTCTGGGTCTGATGCCCCATGTGCACACCTGCCCCAGCTCTGAGCAGCCCAGGGGCCCCGCAGTGTTGGGAGGGAAACTCTTGGGACCAGGACCTTGCCTTGATCACACTGCCAGCTTGTAGTCTGGAGCCCTTCATTTTACTTGCACAATAAAAATATTTCATCTTTTTTTTTTTTTTAAATCAATAGTACATACAATCCAAAAAAGAACTATTCACAATAAACTGCTGGCTTGGGGATATCTTCATGAAAGATTTTATATTTGCCTGGTACACGGTTCGAATAAACACTTGTGTTTGTGCCAATCGGGAAAATTAACTGAACAATAAATGACACGAAAATGAAGTATTAGGCAATATGTATCTTTGTTTTAGGGGAAAAAAAAACACTGAATTTTTTCCCACTCACAAACACATGGAAAGTGCAGAAACCAAAGTTAATCTAAGCAATGTATTTGCATACTTTTACAAACAAGACAAATTAAAACAGAAACATCCAGAATTTAACCTGATTAAATACTTAGTTCAGTCCTGAGCTTTTGATATTTAATTCAACATAGATAAAGCAATAACAAAGAAAGAAGATTTTAAATTTATTTGATTTGCATGCTACAGAGATTCAGCTGAACTTTGTTCATTTGGCTAGTAATATTCCTTTTGTACCAGTAACACTTAAGATTCTGATATACAAAATTGTAATAATATACTGATAATTCGAACTTGAGAACTAAATATTACATTCTTTTTACCCTGTGCAGAATAAAGTCTACTTTTTAAAAATAGTATTTATAATATTAAAATTCATATTTGTCCATATGGTTTTGTGATCAAGTTATTAAAATGTTTCATCACTGTGAATCATGTGGGTTAGTACAAATATGACAGGATTATTAAAAGTTGCCTATAAATACATAACACTATTGCTGAGTTTTAAACTGTGGCAAAAGAAATATTTAAAATAAGTCCATCTCTCATGTTAGAAATGAGCACTTTTTGTAAAATAAAACCAAAAACATCTTGGTCACAACTGTTTACTACCGGCCTGAGACAGATTTTATTCTTTAATACTTGTCTGAAACTTTTTGTATTACAAAAAGTTAACAGCCAATCTGATGAAGATTTATAAAGCTGTGAATATTCCAATATAACCTCTTCTATGTCAGACATTTAAAATGGCCAGAACCAAACTATATATTAAACAGAACATAAATAAGGCCGTAAATAAATAAATGAAGAAAATAAAATCGTACGGTACAACTACACATAATTCTATAAACATTTTTATGGTCAAACTAAGAAGCTGAGAACAGCTGCCCTTCATTTATCTCTACTTTAAATAAACTTCTGTCTTTCACATTTGACCTTGGTAAGGGCGAACGGTGCTCTTTTTTTCCATTTTCCTTGGTTATCTGAAAGAATGACCAGGGCAGCCTTGAAGGATGGCGCTCAGCCATTCACTGGGCTGGTGTTTGTTCAGAGTAGTGTCATGTCCAGTTACGTCTTCAAAGAAATGGATACAGAAGTGGTGGGACATTTAGGAAAACATAAAGCTCTAGGCTCAGAAATTGCTTACTTTGATTCAGTTAAGGTGAACTTTCCAAAACAAGACAGACAAAAATCTTGTCAATCAGGATTCTAGATTAGGAAGGGAGTTTTTTTTTTTCTTTAAGGGGCCAATTTAAGAAAATTTTGCATTTCTTAAAAAAGAAATTGATTTGGTTTGCTCCCTATGATGGCTAACCAAAAATTGCTTCTTCTAGTACAACAAACTGCATAAAAAATATGATTTTAAATTGCCTAAACGCTTATGAATTTTTAAAGCCTTTATGCTGGCAGCAGCTACACAGAGGGTTTGTTTCTTTTGAAAAGTGCCAGGGCTGGGTGAGCTAAAATTCTGAACTGGAAGATGCAATAGTCAATTTCTCGCTCTCATCTCGCACAAACGATCCAGCCTATATTTCAGATTAATAATTTCCCTAGACACATTCTTTTCCTTTCGTCTCCTGACTATTTACCATAAATTGTATATAGGGCCCCTAAAAATGACAGCTGCAAGGTAATTTCTAATAAATGTTTAAAAAATCTGTTTGACGAACTATTTTTAAAAATTATTTTTGGCAATTTTGATTTGATCAAGATCATCTTCCCTCTGCTCCGGGTCTCACCAAATGAGTCCTGACCCATCTTCTTCCACATCCTGTGGACTATCTGACCTTAGGACACAGGGCCAACACAGCATCATCCTCCTATCTAGGACAAAACGCTGGTGTGAGCCAGAAACCACATTTGGACATGTGCAAGTTCAGGTGCTATAGATGAAGCAGCCACTCATTTGATGAATTCAATGCAGTGTGTTTTGGGGAAGTGGCGCTTCCCTCTCCCCCCCCTCCACTCTCAGTGACACAGCCTTCAAGATCTGGAGTGTAGCCAGGAGCCTTGCTTCCTTTGCATCCTTATATCCTAGACTCAGTATTTTATATCATAGGTTTTTTTTAAGCAAATATAAAAGGACAGAAAAGGAAATTGTTTTAAAGAAACCAAGTGTCCCATCCTAGGTGCAGGAAATGAACCCAGCGCCTATTTCAAGGGACTGTGGACTCTAAGCTTCATCCTACACTCGTGTGGAGCTCTGAAAGAGCTGCTCTGGAGTACAAAGATGTCCCACGGCTCTGTTGCCATTGTCACAGTCTGCTCCGAAGAAAATAGAGGAAAAGCTAAACCACCTTCTCAGCAGTCAGCTCAGCAGAGCAGGCGCTTGGCACTACCTCTACTCTGTTTTTCTATAATATAGTCAGTTGGCAACACACGCAGACTGTGCAACACTGGTGTACCAGATCATCCCATTTCTGTTACCTGATTTTTCTTCTCTTCTTGAGGATATAAGAATTACATTCAAGGTACTTTACAAATAGATGTGTGGAAAATCTGACGTGAAATAAAGTTCAAGAGTTGACAGTTATTTACCAAAAAGAAAAAAAAAAAATCCCTAGAACCCCAACCAAACCAACCAAACAAACAAACGTTCAGTCTTTTGCCCTCCCTCACCAAGTGAACAGGTGAAAAAATACACTTCTTAAGTCGTGTGCTCAGACGTCGTCAGCCGGCAGGGCTGGGATGCTTATCTTCGCTCGGGTGAAGTAGGCAATCTTCTCCCTAGAGCGAGAAATAAACCAGCCTAAATATGATAGGGAAGATACTCTCTGACCACAAGCGTCATCTGCAAGGGTGGCAGCGATGTCTCTGCAAGCCGGGACGAGTGTCTTTTCCTCAGGTAGAACTCCATTTAGTACCAAGAGAGTCTCTGCCTGTACCCAGCAGAGCAGCATCTCTGCTTATCGCAAATCACCTTTGGACCAGGCCAGTGCGTCCCCTTCTGGCATTTCCAGTATAAGATGGTTTTTAAGTCATTACAGGTTTGATCTGGGTACAGGTGTTGCTAAACCAGGAAGTATAGGATTCAAAATCCCTCATGGAAATTTCTCAGTGACCTCGCAGTACATGATGCCAGGAAAATTCTGTAAAACGAATACCCTGCTAAGCAGGGACAGCCTGACCAGGGCTACTGAGGCTCCGATGAAGGGCCACGGGGGAACCTGGCTGCCTGACCGGTAAAGACTGTGCTGCATCCCAAAGCAGAGAAGCTGAACAACCCGACAGGCAGATGCTGAGAGCGACAGAGCCAAGTGGATCTGGGGTTAGGAGAGTGGTTAAGACAATACGATTTTAGGACTGAATAGTTACCAAAGAGCAACATGTCTATTTGTCCACAAAATGTCACATCAACACACATTTGCTGAGGCTGCAGGTGGGCTCGTTGGTAGCGGGAAGGAAGATTACAGCACTGGCCCCCCTGTGGGGCAGTGTCGGGGAGGACAGAACAGGCTAGAACCAGAGCTGAGGGGGACGCCCTGGAGACTAAGACAAAGGGACAGAGGAAAAGGGCCAGTCGGCACAGTGTGGACGTTGAGATGAGAGCGATTTCTGTGGAAAAGTGTCCCTTAAACGTGCTCAATTCCACAGGACATTTCATAAATAAAAACTGACAATGGCAGGAGCATGGACTGATGAACCCACCAGTCAGCCTCCCTGGTTTCTCCACACCTGACCTAGCCCATCATTTGCTTTCAGCCTGGAGTCCCTCTCCTGGTCCCCTCACCATGTGAAAGCACCTTCCACACCTCGTATGGTCTGAACCCAGCCCTCCGGGCCCTCCCTGGCAGGCTGTCGGCTGGCAGCTCCCCTCGCGCTACCCA